TGGGTGATACTTAGCTCTTTTGATTTCTATCAAAATAATAACATAGGGATATTTGTAGTACTTACTTTACCAAGAATTTGAGGAAGCAATACCGTAATTCAAACAACCTCAAACAGAATATCAGATAACCCTCTGCACAGCAGTCTTTAACCAGTGGACACTCCACTTGGGGGTGTCATTGGCAGTACTATCCTTGTGCTGGCACGTTTCCTTCTCTCTGTCTGTCTCTTCCCGTTCCCATCTCTCCCCTCAGTGCTGCCAGTCTGGATTGCCCCAGACTCAAGGTGTTTCCTCATTCTGTTGTGTACATCTGCTCAGTTCTTCTCAGCATCTAGTCCTGCTTCACTGCAGGCTCACCTTGTATATCCAAACTAGTCTGAACGCTCAGCCAGACCAAATGGACTTCCAGTTAACAAGACGCTCCCTAGTTCTACAGGAATTGTGGTTGTGAAAAGTATCTCTGCTGTTCACTCTGCCTGCTTAAGCTCATGAAGGCCAGCTGTCAGTCTGGACGATAGTCTTGATGATGATCATCATCATAATGGTTAACATTTATTGAGTGTTTATAGTTTACAAGGCACTGAACTAAGTCAGTACTTTATGTTCTCCATTTTAGAAATGAAGATGGAAACTCAAAGAGAATGAGTAATTTAGCCAGCTGCTAAGTGTCAGTGCTGTGCTATTAATCATCTGAACATATCCCAGCAAAGATTTTCTGAGCACCTGTTATGTACCGGAACTATCCTAGACATTAAGGATAAAATGGTTAGCAAGGTACCTGCCTGCTTATGAAGGATATTTCCCAATAAAGAAAACATAAACAATCAAGAACACCTGTAAGATTCAGATTACAAACTATGAAGAAAATAAATCCAGTGATGTGTTTGACTTCAGGAGTGTCTGGGTTGGGAATCACAGCGGGGGTGGGGGGACGTTACATTGAACAGTCAGAGAAGGCTCCTGTTAATGCCTAAGGCAAGACTGAGCCTGATGAATTTAAGAAACTGAGTTTAGGCCGTTGTGACTGGAACAAAGAAAAGGACTCAATAAAGATTAAGGATTTTTATCCTAAGAACAGCGAGAAGCCTTTTGAGTTTTTTAAGCTGGAGTGTCACGTAATAAGATCTGAAATTTTTACAGATCCTTTTGATTGCCTTATAGAGAATGGATTGGAGGAGGACAAAACTGGATTGGGGAGTTGTTAGAAAGCTATTGCTGTGGTATCTGTAGCTTGGTCTGGGGTGGGTTGAGGGAATTTGATAGAAATGGATGAATTTAAGAGATTTTTTTTTTCGAAAGGTGAAATTTGACATAACTCATCTGTAAGCTTCTTGAGACTATGAGCCATTGTCTCGTTCCATGTTCTATCACCAGCAGACATGGCACTGATAAGTGGCGCTAAGTAACTATTGCTTGAGTGAAGATGTGATTAAGCAAATAAATAGGTAAATTCGGTGTAATAATTCATCATGTCCTGGTATCTCAAGTGCTAAACCAAATTATTGAATTACAGGGTAAAATTACCATTAGAGATAGATTATCTTAAAATTTTCTTAATTTTCATCATTGAAGATTAATGGATTCTTTTTTCCCCCTCCGATTATATAGCTTCCTGGATTGAAGATAGTTTAAGTAGAAAATAAATTCCCCAATGTCATTTTCATACATGGTAAATGTATTTTGCACAGTTATTGGGAGGCACTTAGGAAAAGGCAAGGCATTGGAATAAAATAGAAACTATCATTTCAAAAGGATTTTGGATTTAGATATTTTTACATTAATACTTTAAAGTCAGAGTTGGAAAAAAAAAGAAATGATGGCTTTTATTTAAAATATTCCAAAATAAAAAATTTTAAAGAATAGAATGTTTTGATTCAAGGAGAAAAGAGCCTTCTTTTTCTTAATAGCAATGAGAAATGTGTAAATGATCATTTAAAATCTCTGAAAAACAGAGGACTGCTAGTTTATGTATAATAATAGCACACAGCCAACATTTGTTTCGTTTCTATAGTCCAACACGAAGATTAAAATCATAATGGACTACTCCTAGGAAAGTAGGGTGATTTGACAGAAGCGTTTCCAGTGGAAATGTACAAACCTTACAGTAGTGAAGAAAATCCAAAATCTGCATTGAAATAAGGACATTCTTTGGACTCTTAAAAAATTACAGGCCTCATTTTTGTGGGTTGAAGTGTTTGGATAGCTTGATAAGGAGATTATATAATTCCCTTATAGGGATATTTACTTAGTATTGTTTTTATTATGTGGCTGCAACAGATGACAAATGTAACTTCGGTAATAGGAAACAAAATGACAGCTACATCCCAGAATGGCCAAAGTTGTGAGACTGAGAAGTTATAGAAATCTTCAACTCTGTCCATTTTCACTCATACTCTCAAGATTCCATTTCCTGGGATGAGGTCATGATTGACCCTGTGAACACTAGTCACACTCCTCGCTGAGTTGTTTAGTTAGCCAAAACTTAGATTTTTTTAATTAAAAAAAAAGTCCCAATAAATATTAAACTTTAAAACATTTATATTACTTAAAATTCTTCATGATGATAGTTGTGCATGTGTTTTTTCATATGCATAAGCTATCTTATGCTTTTTAATGTGGGATTAGTTTCATATAAACACTTCCACATTCTGGCATTATCCAAAGATTTATAATTTAGAAAAATAGATGATATTATTCAAAAAACCATAATGGTAAATGCTACTTCAAATTTATTAAAAATACTTATAGATTCAAACCTACTCCCTCATAAGTATTATTTGTTGTACTCAAAAGTTTGTACTGGAAGAAAAATATTATGCTTTATATTACCTTTTCCTGGAAGAGTAAAATTTTAAAATGTGCCTCATACATACACACACACACACACACACACGCACGCACAATTTATAAAACATTCTTTCAAGCTAAGTGAAAAAAAAAAAAAAGGTACCAATATGTTAACCTCATGTTTTAAGAGATGATTATTTGAAACGTTATCCTGGAGTCCCTTTGGAATCTGGTGAAATGGGACAGTCTCGTTTATGTTCTGACCCAGCTATTGTGTCATTCAGAGAGCTCTCAGTCACTGCCCTGGCAGTGCCTTGTAGGGTCCCATAGAATGATCTCTATGGGGACTCCTGTTGGTGGCGTCTGCTACAGGTTATATAAAGCATTTAAAATGGGGTGATACTATGTAAATATTCTGTGAGGCATTTTTTATATTGCCTTCCTGTTTATATTTTACATTTTGTGAACTCTTGTTTACTACTTTATTTACTAGTCATGGGACTATTATTTAAGGTAAAAAAAACCTTCACTGCACAATTTATTTTGCAGTAGCACATTTTAAGGGATGATGTATTTCCTTATGCCAGATTGTTAAATGCAAGAATTTAGCCTGGATCATATTTTTACTAATTAGCTTTGCCCAATCACTGTTTTTGTTGTTGTTGCTTTTAAGGAACTATGTGTCAGGTTTGGTAAAATATCACAAAATTGTTGAAATTTTGAACCTCTTGGGGTTTTTAGCCTTAAAACGAAATCTTTCATTTTAAAAATGAAATATCTGAATAAAAATAGTTTGCTGTAGTCCAAAATACACACTTGAAATGTTTCGCTAGATTAAAAAAACAAAAATCTGGGGTAGTCTTGTGCAACATTTTTTGCAGTTTGACCAGAATCTTTCTAAGAAAGATGAAAATTAATTTTAGATACCAAACTTAAAACATTTTTGTGGGTCAACTCTAAGTTGACAAATTACTAATTTTACCTGTTAAAATTAAAGGTGGGGAGCCACCTTTTCCCCTTGAGTGTTTAAAATATTCATTCAGATATTCAAATATTACACAAGCCAATCCTGATGATTTCACTCCAGTTCACAGAGTATGACTTGAAGTTTTGACATTTCCTCAAAAGATATGGCAAAATATACACTGCATATGCATTAATCCCTTTCTTTACTCTTTTTGAAAATAATTGAACTGCCAGAACATCTCAAGAGTTTGAAAGTTTACAGTGAGTTGGGAGCATGTGTATTGGCCTCGTAAATTCCACCTTAGAACTGTAGTTCCTTCTTAATTAAACAATGGCAGTAATAAATTCATGTACATCATGACACTTGGAAATACCAAAGCTTCAGTTTCAGCTTTCTATATATCAAAAGAAGAGAAACAGCTATTTTAATACAGTTGAAAAGTGTGTTGGAAATGAATACTCCTTACTATGTTTTACCCAGACCCAACAGGCAGAGTTTGTTAACTCAAAATACACGATTCCCTGGAATATTATCCCTTCGCTGTTTTTCTTTTATCCCTCTCTCTCAAAAAAATCATGCTATAGAAAACTGAACTTAGTTTTTGGAGTAGAATTATTAGAATCACTTATTCTTTGTCGGGCATCAGGCTGATGTCGTCTTGTTCTATGCATTACAGGGTGCTGCGAAGCTGTGTACAGTGAATGTGTACAAGGGTAGTAATTTACTGACAACAGTTAGGAAAAGAGAACTATAGAAAGCACATGAACAGTTTCAGAAATGGGTTTTATTATATTTCATAAGCACCACTCACTTTACTTTTGGTGGGTTTCAATATTTGAATCAAAAGAAAATAATAATAATAATAATAAAAATAAAAATAATATTAATACATACGAATTAAGAAACCGACAGATTAAAACCCCAGGCCCCCGCGCCCCTCATTTTGGTTGTAGCTCTTGGTGTAGATGCTATGGTGTGAGGGCTGCTTTCTTTCAATGGCTGGTTGTCATTCAGGCTGGGTTGTCATGTGACTGCCTGTCTGTGCCTGCTGTACAGGTGAGCGGATGTTCTGCACAGCAAGTGTAGACAGGCAGACACATGACAACTCCGTCCAGCCAGGCCCTTGGTTCCTTCGGGTTTCCTTTGCTCATGGGCAGATACAATCATTCTGTTTTCCAGATTTGGTGGTTTTGGAGGGCCAGGGGAAAGGGAGAAAAAACACACAATAGAATTAAACATTAAAACGTTATGGAGCTAAAAACAAGTTAGACTTTTGACTTTATTCAGATAGTACACTTATACATTTGTTCCAAATGTGCTAACATGGATGATTGACATAACAGAAAACTCACATTGAAATTTTAAGGAAAAACAACAACAAAAAAGACTAAACACAAGGTTTATTCTTAAATCCAATTCATATTACTCCTGGCCCACATGCAGTCAGAGTTCAGAGTAATTGAACCAGATGTTTTTCCTCTTCACAAAAGCTCTGCATATTTTAAAACTGAAGTTAAAGATAAAGACTATGTTTATACATGTCTCTTATAGGAGATAAGTACCATAACCTTGCCCATGAAAAAGAAACTTGTCATTTACATGGAAAGGGCAGCCATTTTCCAAATAATTAATGAGCCTAATGTATTTGACAACTCTACCAGCCGACTTTGGTATCTGATGCTTTGATAGTTGGGTTTTACAATTAGATGCATTTTTTTCAATATTTTATTAAACAGTAGGAACTTATTGACATTTCTCATATTCCTCTCAATGCAAACTTTTTTTTAGTATGGATGTGAAAACCAAATAAAAAGCAGTTGTGAGCTTAAGTTCTCCCTCTCTTAATTAACTATAAGGTTGTGCCATGAATCAAAAGAGGTATAAACTAAAAAGTTGTTACCCACAGTGATGCTCATAATGTGTTTTGGATGTTGTCAGTGCAATACAGTTACAAAATAGTACCTTAAACACAGAAAAGGAAACTTCATTTCATATACAAAATGTAAAACCAGACCCTTTGGAAAATTTCCTTAGAGTTCATATAAGAATTCATATAAGGAAGAGTTAATAGTGTTAAATATACAGTTAGAAAATTTAATTCTGGTGAGTTGAGAATAATTCTACTGATTATTTTAATATAAATGATCCATTCATATCCATAGATGTATTTAACAAATTCCCCTTCTCTTAAAAAAAAATTTGGATAGTCGAAATTCCAAAAAGTGGAATTTCTTAAAAAACAAAACAAAACCTTTATGTTCCAAGGAGTGTGTACTTAAGGGTTTTTTTCAAGGAAGTGTAAGGAAAACAGTTTATTTCCCTTTAATTGTAAAATTCTGAGAATAAGTTTATGGAGAGCAAAAAAGTTTTTAGAGACTGAAAAAAGTGAGTTTTTTACACATCTGAACTTCTATGAAGTAATTAGATATGGTACAATTTTAACAAAGAGTTGATAAGAGCAATTTTCCATTTATTTAATTTCAAAAAAAAAAGTGTCTGATTCTGTTTCTAGTCATCACTTCTGAGTAGAGGACTGTTTTTTTCTTGACAGAATCAAAAACGTCAGTAGATTTGGCTAGTATTTAAGTAATTACAAGGCCAGATTATGCAAAGACAGATACCTTAAGAAACTATTTTGTTATTGTCGCTGCATTCAGTGCAACAGAAAATATTTATGGAGTGATTCACTTACAAAGAATATTTTGGTGGAAATTTAAAATTACTGTAATTCTGTATAGCTTTCCCCTCTCTCTCCCATAAATAATTTGATCCAGTTAACTCTGCATAAAGGAATGATGTGTGCAACCTGAAAAAATAGAAAGAAATATTTGTGAGTTCATGTTGTCCTTTAATATGAAACAGTTCTATTAAAACAAGATACTCCAATTTATTTGAGCCTCAAAAGCCATAACTGTTTTTCAGAGGGAAAAATCTTGCTGAAAAATGATTTTATTCTACTCATAAGATTCAGAACAATTGATGTTTCTAATAGACTTTTTAAATGTAATTATAATGAGTTTGTGGCATATGGACACTTCATAGTTACGTTGAACCTGCCCCGTAAGCTTTTTAAAAAGATAGAAGGTGGAAAAAACATTTAGGGCTTTTTCTTACCTTCCAAATTATACAGAGAATATTAATTATCACTTAAAATACTAGCTAAAATATGAGAGCTATTTACATTATTATCATACCATGTAATTTTTAATACAGTCTTTATACCTTATTTCTTTTTTATATTTTATTTATAATCTTAAGAAAGAAATGCAACAAAGTGAATCATCTTCTACAATAAAATTAAACCAAAGCAACTCCAGGAAACTGGCTGTCACGATAAGTCAGGAAATTCAAAATTAAGATTTAATTATTTTCCTTAATTTACTTCATTATCTCTATTTATTAAAACTGATAAAAATTCTTAATAAGAGACTTTCAAAAAATAGGTAAATATTTCTATCTACATAATTTGTAGCACACCAAGGTTTATAAAGTAGGAGAAACCAAGTAAGAAAGAGTCTTTACTCAGGAATTTCCTGTCTTCTCTTAGGTTAAAGCCTGACCTTCTAGTTATTTAAGCTGAAAGTTATGAGTGATGGTCTCTTAGTTATTATTTAGACATTATTGAGATGGTGGGATAGTCTTTTTAGAGAAGAGGAAAATTTTTTTTTTTTTAAGAGCAAATCTCTTGTAGATTTGCTTTTCTTTAGTCAAGATGTATGCTGGATGAGGGAACTTGTTGCATTACCAAGTTGTATTTTCCTATTATTTCCTATAGCAGCTTTAAGACTTCAACTGGGGGAAAAAAGGAGGGGGGAGGGGGATTTCTTCATTAGGAGTTTTGTGCCTAAACTCTTTCCCATAGAGTGAAAAACTTGGGTGGTCTGTAGGGCAAGAGGCGAGGGCAGATGGTATATTTTCGTTTTTGAAAAATATAAACACATTATCTGGGCCGAAAGCTCAAATGCCAGGCAGGAAGGATATTAAACCTATTGACTAATTGCAAGCAAGTGATCAGTGTGAAATTTTTCCCTCTTGTAAATAAACTTTCTTTGGTTTTGAGATCTATGGCTTAAAAAGGCGGAGTTGGGTTTAAAATGTAAATATATTGTTTTATATTGGTCCTTTTCCAATTAAGAAATGATGGTGTTGAAGGGAAGGCTCTGAATTTCTTTCTCTTTGATAACGGAAAGCATTCTCCTTTTAACTCAGTACCTAGTCTAATTTATCAATCACCATCCACTAAACTGAAAAACAACTACTAAGTTTCTATGAAGTCCAGTTTGGACAGGCCTTTCAAACAAGCTTCTCTTTCTGAAGATGTACAATTTTCAGTTTTAATACTTACACTTACCATCATATCCAGGGGTAGTTTTAGTTGAAGATGTTCACTGTTGGTTAGTTTCCTCTGGAATAGATCCCATGATCCCTAAAATATTTGTATATCTCCTTATAAAGTAATATCAAAATAAAATTAAACATTATTTTAATTACCCTGGAAATAGATAAGGTTATTTTACGATACGTGTGTGTTCATGTCGGTGTACGTACCAGCGTATAAACTGTCATCCTCCCTTCAGTCAGCAGAGGTTTATCAAGTAAGCTTTTACTTTTGATTTTTAATTTAGTTTAAAAATAAGTACTATTCCTTCCCATTTGTTAAAAGTTTGCATCAAAAATGGATTGTCAGCAGAGCTCCGCGAAGCACGTGCAGGGGCTCCTCAGTTACCCCTTTGCAAATCAATTCGTACGTTCCTACTCCTGTACTTACGCCAAGGACACCCTCCGGTCCCCTCTGTCTCCAGACTAAAAGTCATCTTGATGGAGAAAATCGGTGAGGAACCAGTGGTAGTTTCTTTGAAACAAGAAGGCCATTTAATATGAAGAAAGATATTTAAATTAAATATACATGAAATGAAAGCAAGATAGGAAATCCAGTCATTTCTATGGAGTGAAAAAAAAACCCCAAACTCCCCCAAATTTGAGAAACCTTAATATTGCCAAAATACCTTATAGCTATCTTCTTTAGTGACTGTATCAATTACTAAAAATATATTTTTTGAAAAAATAAGCTCCTATAAAATACATCTAATAGATTTTGTTTCAGTTTTTCTATGTAAAAGAAACATAGGAAACAGATTTTTTTAAAAATCTCACTTGTTCTGTTAAAAATAATTAATATGGAAGCCTTCGAGATATAATAGAAAAAATAAAGGATGACATTATTGTATCATTTAAGTGGAGAAAATAGCAAAAACAAATCCTTGCTCTTTATATTTTAACTAAAGCTGTAAATAAGAGAAAAAAAATTATGTTCTTTGAACCAGTTTTGGAATGATCAGAGGGGTAATTTTTAAAATAAGTTGTTGTGACAAAAGATAACTTGGGGAACCTTTGGTAATTAAATGTTTTGCCAAAGAGAACTTGGAACAATTTTTGAATTGCTGCAAAATGTATGATTTAGAAAAGGCTTTGTTTAGGAACCACTGTAACTGTGAAGAATTTAAAGGAGGACAAAAGAGATTACATTCACTTTTCACAAAAGCCTAAAGAACAGACGTTTTCATTACATAGAATTGTTTGGGGGTAGATATAAATGAGGGTTGAGGCAGTAGCATTTTTCCAGAACTTTCTTTAAGGGACCCACCTCTTAAGTTCAGCATGGATCATATTGCAACCCAGACTTTCTCTATTCTCTCTATTGGGATTTCATTCAGCTTGAGGGTTTCCTCCCTCCTACCTTCCACCCCCTCTCCCACCATCCTTCACCCCCAGGACAGCTGGAAACTGACCAAAGAAAACTTTGCTTTCGTTTACAAATTCCTTTTTTATCAGTGGGTTTGTAGACAAAGTACCTTATCATCTTAAGAGCTCAGAGAAATAGAAGCATTGTAAAACATAGGCGCGGGGGCTCAGCTGACCAGCAGTTATCAACTATTCTTAGATTTAAAAAAAAAGAAAAGTAATACAGAGATGTATATTGGGATATCTGAAGATAGAGATTTCTATTCCCCGATTTAATTGGTTGCTGACTCTGTAAGTTCTAGGTTCGTGCTCTTTTCTGGACCGGTCCCATCTGCATTGTCTGGTAGGCAAAAACTTGGCAGCCTCTTCTTTTATTGTTAGCTACTATTATTCCCGATATTTATATTGCATAAGTAAATTATAAGAAAAGCCGTATTCATATAACATGTTAAAAATAGCAAGTATTCTTTACTTTGGGGCAAAATTAATTCAATCCTGGGATGTGAAATGTTATACTACAGTCCTCATTCAAGTAAGTTTTTAGGTCTCTGTATTATTAATTTCAACAATTCAAAACTGTCCTCATTAAATTATTCTCGTGTGGGAGTCTTTTCATACTTCATTTCAAAGTGGGAAAACCTTTTAACTTCAGGAAATACTTATAACTCTTCAGAAATCCAGTACCATCTAGTCAGTCGCTATGTACCACACACTGTTGCTCTTGTAAAATTAAATGCAGAGCACTCGGTCCCATGGCTGCCTCAGTTTCTCTCGCATGTGAACACAAACCACCGGCTCCCCACCGCGGCTCTCCTGGTCCCAGCCCAGGTGAGCAGTCAAGAAGGCCTTACCCACAGGTCTTCCCTTGAGCAGTCCTTTCTCGGCAGTGTCCCCGAGGGCTTCTTGGTCTCTAGTGTGCAAAACCTGTGAAGAAAAACACTGGGTATGAGATTCGAAAAAGGAGCGAACAAACGTCTTCTCCTTGGAAACAGCGACTGGTGTCCCCGGCCGTCCGTAGCGTTGTTGTCCCTTGCCCAGTCTAACCAATGTGCAGACTACTGTACAACGGCATTGTCCTGAACAGGTAGTCTGAACACTGGGGCGACGGAGCAGGATCTCCAGAAGCTTCCATCTATGTACTTAAAATCCTCTCCTGGTCTTTGGGAAAAGCCTCCCTTCCTGCACCAGGGGTTGCATTCGGCTTCCCCCCCTGAATTCTGCTGCCCCGACTGAGACTCAAGGGCTGTGATTTCCAGTCTTGACGTGGCACATTTGCTGCAGACTGGGGAACTGGCAATGAATTTAGGACCAGGAAAAGGGGGAGGGCTGGGCTGGAGAGTCCATATATGGGATGATGTCACCCTGGGGAGGTTTGGGTATGCGCTGTGCCGCTGGAGAGACCGCTAGAATCGCCTGCTCTCAGACATGGGTCTGTGCATAAAATGGTACCAGATGTTTTAGTGTAATGTTAAGCAGTCATTTCATCTTCAGGCCAGATTTTTTTCCTCAACTGGGCAGGAAGTGGGCCCCAGTATGGAAAAGCTGTAAAAAAAAAAAAAAGTTGAGATGTACAGTTCTGCTGTGGCCAACTGAAAGTGCGTTCGTGGAGAAGTACAAATTTGCTGTCCGAGCCAGGCTAGAAAAGTAATTGGAAGATAGAGGATAGATTAAAAAAAACAAAAGTAAACAGAAAGTTGAACACTGGAAGCCAGGGCTCATTTGGAAACCGTTTTGAGCTTTCCTGTGGTACTTTATTTTCTGGTATTTCACTCGTCAGAAAGGGCAGATAAGTTCATTTTTTCTTCTCTCTCTCTCTCTCTTTCTCTCTCTCTCTTTCTCCCTCCTCCTCCTCCTCCTGTCTGTTGGATCTGTCAGCGGCTTGCAGGCTGCTCTAGACTTGAACAGTAATTATAGCAACTTCCTGAAAGTGAAGCCCCCATGAAAAGTCTGGAGAAATGCTCTTTGTCATGGCCTCTCCATGAGTAATTAGTTCCACATGTGGCCTTCCCCATTTCCCTCAGAGATTCTGGCTGCCTCTCCGAACGCTGTGCTATAGCTTGACCTAAAGAAACTTAAAAGTTTTGATTTCAAGCCTCCACTATGAAATAATGACTCCAGTCGCCTAACAGATTGCCTCTGGTAGATCCAAGCTATTAGGTACAGCACTGTTTTTCACTGGTTATTCCTGATTCTGTGTTAATACTTTTGTTTTGTTTTAACGGTATTCTACTGCTTCGTTTTATCGCTGGTTTAACTAAATCTGCTGAAATTTGCCAAGTACTGCCTGACCAAAGTTTATAACATAGCAGCCCACTGGCATCCACTTTTCTTCTCTTGTTGCTGTTTTCAATTACATATACCGCTGAATATTCTGAGCGTGCAGCTTTCTGACTTTCCCTCCATAGTGTTGTGATTAAAGTTCGAGTTGCCTCCAACAAGAGCTTGATTAATTGCCCTTCCAGAGATCAACAAGTGAGAAAATTCCTAGGTAGCTTCCAAATTTGATTTGAGTAGCCAAACTAAGGAACTTAGCTTTCTTTGAAGACTTACAGCCAAAGCAATTCATTTCTACTGGCCTTCTGCAGTACTTTGGAGAAGCAGAAAAATCTTTTTTGAAAACGTTGGGTTGAATATTTCAGAAGCCTTCAAGTGAGAACTGTCTGAAAGCATTCGCTTTTCATTAAATGTCTTCTCTTGAATTACTGTACTGTTAAAGGGTTCAAAAGTTATTGCAAGCCCTGCTCACCTTGGGAGGAAGATTGAATAAGATTAAAAAAAAAAGAATTGTCTGGCAGTTTAGGATGGAACAAAGAGATTAGCAGTAAGGTACATCATTCCCAGAGGGATTTAAATCATCAGTGGAAATTCGGAGGGATTACTTTGTATCACTGAGCTTCTGCTCCCATAATTGTGTCTTCAGGGCCTATTCCACAGTGGTTGGGCAAGCTCGGTGTGCCTCAGCTCCTTCTTTCCCTGTCACTGCTTCATATGATTACATAATCCTGGAAATATGCAAGTGTGGCTACATACCATCTAATGGTCTTATGACATGTGACTACCAATTCCATTCTTGTTGAGTGTATATATGTTTATTCACAAATCATCAGAGACGCACCAAGAGCCAGTGGGACAATAGTCAGCCAGGAACCCAGCATTCCAGGCGTGGTCTCTGCCAGAGTGAAAGTCGTTCTTCGGCCATCTTCTATTTACATCGATGAAACATGCCTTGGGAGTTCTGTGTGAGGCAGATGAATGGTGGTTCTGATCAGACTGCTCCATGATTTCATCTTAGTTCACACATCTATACTTTTTGTCAAATATGGGAGAGATCTCTTTCTCAAAAAGGGTTTTTTGTGACTTTTTTTTCAAGGAACTCAATTTTATACTTATCTGTACTGCTTTTGAAGCATTTTAAGTGATTTTCTACAGAAACAACTATAAAGGTTGTGTTCCCCTTAGCATATATGCCCATCTCATTGGGCTTCTAATTAAGTAAAATGTTTTAGAATTTTCTTTCTTCCAAATGGTTCAACAAACATTTATTCTTGCCTACTCATGTGCTAGTCACAATGCCAGAGACTGGCAGTAAGATGAAAAAGATAAGATTCCTGCCTTCAGAGAGCTCACACTTCTAATGTTAGGAATGCAGATCTGTGATTAAGTTCAATCTAAAAAGTCTGCCATGGCTTTATGGAAAGCCCTTGGCATTCTCTTGGAAATAGCCTGAGGACGTCCTATGTCTGGAAAGTTATCAGTTAAATATCTAAAATGTGATAGGCTCTAAAAAGCAAAGTCAGACATGACAGAGACTTGCCTTTGAGAACTAATGTTATTTACTTTGGTTATTTCGAAAGGTATTGAACAAAGGGATTGTTGGGATCAATGGATGTTTTGAGGTGACTACAAAATTTGCTCTTTTTAAAAATGTCATGGAAAGGGAAGACTATTTCAGTTGATTACCATTCCTGATCTTGGCAAATTTATAAAACTTTAGAAATTCTCAAATTGGAACCAGAACCAAGGCTTGTTTCTATGTACTTATAAAGAAACACCATCACTAGTGTTTACAGTTAGAGTATTTTATGACATCCAGGTATGCACACTTCAGATAGTATTTCTATAGCTTTAATTTTATTTGTTACAAGATTAGTGCAGAGCATTATAAAAGTTCAAATAATAGAAAGTATGTGAAAAAAAAAGTTAATTATCTTTCCCTCCAACCTTCTAACCCTCTCTGCTCTTTCAAATTAATGGCAAAAGTTTGGAGTGATTCCTTTTACCACCTTCTCAGTGGTCATTTTTATAGCTTCTTTATAGATTATAAAACCCTTTCAGTACAATGTATCCGTTCCTTATAGCAGCCTTGTGGGGTGGATATTATCATCATTCCCATTTTATTGATGATGAGATTGAGGTTCAGAGAGGTTAAGCATATTACTTTGTGTCATTATAGTAAGTGGCAGAACTTAACTTTTTTCTAACTCAAAAAAACATGTTGTCAGCCCACATAGATACATAGTTCCCCCTACTGAATTTGTATGGCACTTATGTTTCCTGTTAATAATCTGTCAGTTACCTGCTGCCTTCTTTTAGTTTTGTACTGAAATGTTATTATTATTTCACATATTCGGATTTTTTTTCCCACAAACAGAATATGTTAATTGAAGGCAGCAATGGTATCTTTATACTTTAACTAGCCTAAAGGAGGCCATTCAGTAAACTATCAAAAGAATGAATAAAAGCTGCATAGTATGCACGTGGTTTCTGATCAAACTTTTATCATGACAATAATTCAAGAATTAAAACTGTCTTTTTTAAAAATTTTAATGGAAAGCATGGTGCAATTTTAACATATATATGCATATGTATGTATATATATATGTGTATATATATAAAATATATATATATACACATATATTTTATACACACACACACACACTGCTGTTATGTATTGGATTGCACTGTTCTTTCAGAAATAAATGTGTACATTGGACCAGCCATATTTCCTTGCTTATTTTTGGCCTTCTAATCTTCTGAAAGCATCCTGTGTAGCTATCGGTCATACAATCTTGTGTGAAAAGCAGGATCTAACCAAGATGTAGCATTTCCTTTCTTGTTGTTTTCTCCTTCCCAGTTTGTATTTGAGATAAAAATCTGGCTGGCCCCAGTCCATTGCAAATTAGGGAAGATGGCCCCACTTAGCTCGGCTTTATGTTATATGGATTAGCACTTTTTTTTTTTTAATTGGAGGCAATGCTGTCTTCTGATTACCAGCATTTCCTATTTTGTCACGGCCTGAAAGGACTGGGAGATTTGCTGCAGCAAAGCTTTCCCCTTTTCTCTCTGTCCCTGATTCTCCAACAAATGGCTGCCTTCAGATCACTGCAGCGAAGTGCCTTCTTAGCCAGAGATGCAGCATCAGAGGCTGTAAAATAGAGGAGAAATAGTCCAGAAGAGTTACCAGATTTTCCTTCAACAACTGAAAAAGAAGTTAAATTAGAACAGCTATAAATCATAAACTTAATGCAACTGACTTTACAATCTCCAAAAAGCTTGCAAAAGGCAGAGATTGTGAGAGAGTTGATTTTAAAACGTACATTTACTAACGCGTGTTTTGTTTTGTCTGTCTCTAGAATTTTCATAGCTGAGTCTGTTTATTTAGAAATCAGCCCCTAACCAAAAGCAGTATATCTTTTATGAACATTCTTTCCTCAAATCAATTGAGAAAGATAATGTTACACCTTTGAGTTTTACTAACCACTGGCGTACACGGCAGCCATTTCTATATTTCAGTAACATAATACATCCGGCCAGACAAACCTTACAAACTCTGGCTCTATTGAAAACCAGTCGCATGAAGGTAAATGTATGATTTATGACTCCAGTAAAATTTGAAGCACTGTCTTGAAATCTTTAGGGGAAGGCAAGATAAAGGGATTGGAAAATTGGTGCTGGCCTCTCCAGGCAGGTTTTAAGTGAGAGCGTACTAGGAATGCAGTCTGCTGCCTGCTTCAACCCCCAAAAGCTGACGTGCATCATCTGAATGCTATGTGCTATGAACTCTCGTTGAATTCCACGTTACAGTCAGACTTTAAAATGAGTATTGGCTCACTTGGACAAGAGAAATATGGTGTCCTCGGGTCACTGACAATTTTAGAATGTCGACTCCTGATGTCTTTTGGCATCGCCAGTGGTTTATTTCCTTCATACAATTCAGAAGTGAGCATGCATGTTATCAAAAAGGAAAAAAGAAAGAATATTTGTGTATGCGTGTCACGTAAAGACTCAGAAATCACATTTTTGCAGGGATAGAAAAAGTATCCTTTCTGTGGCTGAGGGTGCAAGGGAAACATATTGGCCATTAGGAAATATGTGCGTGAAGGGAAGCTTTCTGCTTTATCCAGTCTACCTGCAATTACGCAGTCGATCATTATAGAAGCTCCACTTCTTTTAATGATGATAGGCATTCTTACAAAGTACATGGCACCGTATCTTTATTTTAGGACTTATAATCCTTTGCTATATTCAGAAGGGAAACACGTATTATATGAATTGCTGAAAGGGTTCAGTCCAACATAAATCTGTTTAGTCGAGAACATTATATATATATATTAACTGGCTTCCCAAGTCTGTCCATTCTTCAGAGAATTTATTTAAGGGACGTATGAGACCATATTAAAATACTTCTATTTGTGCCACCATGGGAATTTGTTTTCCTTTTATAGACAAACAAAAGCACTTGGTGTATAAATTAGCCCGTGTTGAATGTTTATTTACATGTTGCAAACGAGTATTGATCACATATCTTTATAAGCACTCATCTGCATATTAATCAGCCAAAAATTCCTTCCATTTGCCATACAGAATCTGGTTATGTAACTTCACTGACACTCAGGACTACAGTGCAAAAGCTGTAGAAAAAGAAAAGTGTACTGTTCTCCGTTTTTAAAGGTTTGTTCTGTTTGTTTTTAATACTTATTTTTGAGCACTTATTTTACACCAGGCCTCCGTGCTGGAGTTTTTCACATGTGATATGACTGAATCCAACAACCCTTAAAAGTAGAATTTCTCCCAGGATGCAGATGAAGTGGACACTCCAGGAGGCAGTGCAGTGTGAGGGTTCTGCCGCTAGAGGGCGTGGGTTTGAATCCTGGCTTTGCAATTTATTATTCGGTGACCTCGACAATTGTTTAACTACAGTATTCTGAGCTCTAGTTTCCTCATCTGTGAAATAGGGCTTCTCTGAGAACTAAATGGGCTCATGTGTGAAAAAAGCTTGGATCAGGACCTGGTGGAGGAGGGGCTTACACAGGTTAGGTGATGCTATGAGGGTGCAGCCAGGCCCCCACCTTGATTCAGTAACTGGCCTTCCATTCAAAGCCAGGTCCTGTGACTCCAAAGCGCAAGTGACACCAGGAGCGTTTGGGAAGACAGTGTCACTTTCCTCAAAGTGTTTATAATCTCCTTGGGTAAAGAGATCACCTGTGTGTAAAACAAGTAAAAACAGAAGAAAATACTTGATTCTGGAAGAAAGACAACAGTATTTATTTAAAAAAAAACAACAACAAAAAAGACCACCAAACTGTAGTGGGAGATGTTCCTTAAGATAACCTTTCGGGGAGGAGGGTATAGCTCAAGCAGCAGAGCGCATGCTTGGCATGCACGAGGTCCTGGGTTCAATTCTCAGTGCCTCCTCTAAAAATTAATAAATAAACCTAATTACTTGCCCCCACCAAAATAAAAGATGACCTTTTGGAGAATCTCTTTAAAAACCCAATAATGACTTTCCTCTCCTTTGAGTTTATCTGTTTTGTTTTGCATGTGTGTATTAAAATGCATGTGTGTGTATAAATGTGTAAGCATATGTGAACACGTATATGTGTATATACATATATACTTTATAAATATTTATGTTAATTGTGACTATTTTATATATATCTATCTGTATCTATACTTTTAAACTAAACCAGATCTCTATATGAGATCAAAATCATCCTTTTCTCTTTTAAAAGCTAGAGCACATGTAATGTTTTTCTGTAATCTTAGACGTTAGTTTTAGTGTGTGCACATTTCAGTCATCTTTTTTTTTTTTTCAAAAAATTGTGCCTGCCAGAGCTTTACAGCAGCAGTTGAAGGCTGACAAGTGAAAATTAGATGGGAAATGCCTTTGTAGTTTTGCAAATGCAATATCGTAAGGGGATTGATTTCTCTACAGGTGAAGCGATCACTGTGCTTAAAAACTGCACATATACTTTTATAATATTTGTTCAGTTTTGTGTGGGAACAAGCAGTTTACTCCCAGCTTTCTGCAACATAACATTTCCCTCCAGTGCACTCTACTTCATTTCCATGT